ATTGCCTTTTCTGTCCGACTAGTTGGGTGATACTAAAACAATTAGACCCTTCGCCCTCAAGGGCCACGGGTCAATAACCCATTCGGCTTCGCCTCATGGACTATTGACCTGTAGCCCGCGAGGGCTACGGGTCTAATTGTTAATTATCACTGTGTATCCGCTTCTGATATCGTTAAATTGATTGCTAGTTGTAGACACGCAACATCTTCAATGTAAAAGCTATTTTTTCTTCATAGCGATTACCACTAGCTTTCGTAAAGAGAATATAAACAAAATCATTCTAAAATGTTGCAGGAGACATTGGTCCAAGTGGAAAACTAGGTACTCAGGGACCACCTGGACCAAAAGGACAAAAGGGACGAGAAGGCAATGGGCTGTGTGGAGTCAAGTACGTGAGGTGGGGCCGGACAAGCTGTGGTGGAGGTGCGCAGATTGTGTACACGGGTAAGTGCTTTTAGGAAAGAAAATAGTACAAATTAGCCTATACGGTTCATCGGGACTTTTTTAACTAGAGCGTGGAGCGTGAGACGCAGATTTCAATAATTGAATGTTTTCGTCGCGCTCAAGCGTGGGAAGCATGGCCCTCCTGAAAGTTGTCGCTAAATCACCCGTCTTGCAGGATAAAAAAGCAGATCGAGTCCTACTTAATTTCACGGAGTGATATTTACATTATGGACATCTTGTAAAGATCGGCATTCTCTCGTGCAAACATGTATAAGTCAGGATATAAGGGAAAAAGACATTAGAAAATTGGAAAACAACGACAAAGTCTTTACGCGGCCTATATAGTACCGGTAGGACCTGAGGTGACGAAAGTTTAATCGAAAATTAGCATTTTATCGATAGAATTAAGCTGCAGGTTTCCATGTAGGCAGAAAATAAGTGAGGTGTAATTGTAGTTATAGTAGAGTGTTGAAATGTTTAGAAAGGTGATTACACATAATTAGATGTCGCTTTAGAGTATGTTACTTAATTGCTTTTTTCTTCCCAACTGAGTTTAGGAATTATTGGAAGTGGCCACTATGCTCATAGCGGTGGTGGTGGAAAATACCTTTGTCTACCAAACAAACCAAAGTATGATAAATATAGCGACAGCTGGGAGAGCGCCGGTGCTATATACGGAACGGAGTACGAAGTGAGTTCATTCAATCCTTTCACAAACGATCTGCATGACCATGATGCTCCATGTACCGTGTGTTACGTCGGATCACGTGGTTCAGAAATGATGATGCCCGCAAGGAATGATTGTCCTTCTGGTTGGACCAAGGAGTATCATGGTTACTTAATGACAGCGGATTACGGTCATAAAAGTGTTCGCGACTTTATCTGTGTTGACAGGGAAGCCGAGTATGTGCCTGGCTCCCAATCTAATCAAGATGGCGCATTGCTGTATCTTGTGCAAGGGGGCTGTGGTTCCTTACCATGCCTCCCATACGTCGACGGGAGAGAGCTCACATGTGCCGTTTGTACCAAATAAACAATGAAAATTCCAAAGTATTCCTGTAAAGATTGATTCCTCCTCAGTCTTCAACAAAAACAACCCAGTTCCCACACGTTTCCTAGTCAGAGGAGTCTGGACTCAAAGTAGATGGTGACATGTTGAACAAAACAGACCGTCTATAGTCTGTAAACGAGTAAAATGGTATTAAAATCTTTTGCGAGTAGAACTTTCCGGGTGTTAGATTAGTTAATTTAACTCGTGACAACTTTTACTCTGTTTGAAGAAAGTTTTGTAATAAACATTTTTGTAACTTAAATACTGTTTTACCTCATAAATGGCAGTGAACTTTGAAACCAGCTTTGAACAAAATGCCTAGTGTCTTCTTAGGGGGGAGGGGGGGGGGGAATAGGAAAAAAATAAAAAAATAAATACTTGTAGAAACAAGTGCAATTACTTTTGAGCGCACTTACGACATCCCCCACCAAAAAGAAAAGAATCAATAGCTAGTTCTAAGATATATTGACAATAATTTCTGACACTTCGTGTTGAAAGTGTTTCATATCATTAAAAGGAATTCGAGCTAAGCTTCAGCAACACGCTCCCAGTCGAAGCACGTGCTTGTAGATTTTAACAAAAATGCAAACCTTCATCACATCAAGCTAAAGCATCACTTCACAGAGAATGAGAAGCTTTGAGCATTGACGCCTAGATTGACTGACATGTACTATGGTTTTTATCACGGGTACATGTAATTTATCACACAATGGTATCTTCATCACTGGTTACAAGGATTTATCAACAAAAATGACAAAAACAAGGTCAGTTTGGTAGAGTTCAAGACTATCGAGAGAAATTTTTTGTAGAGTTTTATTTGGCAGATCCTGTGGCCTTTTCTTTCTTCTTCTTTTCAGCCTCTGCTTCTTTTTCTTTCTCAATAACTTCGACAAATTTATCTACCTCATCTGGTTGTAATATCTGCAGGAAAAAAATACATCGAACAAAAGTTAGAATTACAAATAAAAATCTTTTCAGAAATTTAGTTTTACTCCAATCTGAGACAAGATGTGAATCCTGATTTCAATCTTGGTTCTCTTCCAAGTACCTAAATGAAAGTTAAAGCTTACGATAAACCATACTGAATTCCAAGTTGATCCTTAATTTGTAATTTTGTTTTTCAAAAAAGAGGTGTACCTTTGAAACGATCAATATTTCTTTCCTGTTAGCAAAAATGGTAGAAATGTTCACTTTATTTACTCTCAGTAACTAAGGATTTCATGCAAGAAAATTCCATCAAATTATCAAATCATCATCAGTCCTCATCGCGCCATTGGACGCATAAGGCCTTAATAAAGCCCCAAATATTGTGTTTACCTTCAGAGTTTCTCCTTTCCTCATTACAGCAAGTTCAATATTCTTCCCTCCTGATTGCACCACCTAAACAATAAGACAATGTTTGAAACTTTCAGCCAATTGCTATATCCTTCTGTTACTATGCACGTTGTGATTGGTCAATTTGTTGGGTCGTATTCTACTGTACGGATTGCAAAAATCGGAACTGTCTTTTCTTTTTTTTTTTTCACCAACACGTCTTGTGATTTTTAATGTTCATGACAAATAAACTTGTAAGACTTTTTGGTTTCTTAAACTTTTTTTTTTAACACCATGTATTATTAAAACACGCTAATGGCATGAGAATGATTTCAAGTTGGCTCCTTTTACTTTGGACAGATGTCAGCCATTTGAAAACATTCTCTGTCAATTCAATGGTTTCCTGACCCTGTCGGACACAGAGTAGAAATACAAGTATCTTTCAATTCTCTGTCTGCACAGAGTGCTTTAAATGGTTGTTTCTTCCTCTTCAACTTATGGCCTCTGCGCGTTGTGCTTGAACCATAAAACAAAGGGGAACAAATTAGTCTGTAACTTACAGTCTGACTGAGAAAAAAGGCTATGAACTTTAGCAATAGGACACTTTTTCCGTGTTTACATAGACTAAACACAAGGAGGGTTAGGAGGATTCGAGACAGTTATGCAAACCCGAGACGTAGTTGAGAGTTTCCATAACTTTTGAGAATTCTGCAAGCCCCCTGAGTGTTTAGATGAGGCTATGTAAACATGGAAAAAGTACTCTATTGCTTTTAGAAAATAATTCTCAAAAATATGTGTGAATCTGAAACGTCACAACCGTGTTTACATACTCTCATCTAAACACACCTATCAACCAATGAGAGCGTGTGTAGTAGCTCAGTTATTTATAAAGTTATTTTAAATTAATACCAATTTACAGTTTATGCTGAAAACTTCCACAATTATTCCCTGAACACCCACAAACAAAGAGTTTATCCTTGAGTGAAAAAGCTTGACTACAGTGGCCATGTGCAGTGGTTACAAAATAATATGATATCATAATTTCAACAGATGTCATTCACCATACAAAATGAAAAAAAAAAAAAATCATTTCTAGCATCAATCCTTGTCATTCTCATATTCAATCTCATGTCCCCCTCATTCTCAACTAGCCGTCTAGCACTAAATATCTTCATGAAACCTTTGGACAATACAAGGAAAATAACCAAACTCAAAAATGAGCTTACCTCAAGTAAAGCTTTAATGGCTAGTTTAATTGTCTCGTCATCAGAATCTGCTACTTCATCTGTGTAGTGCTTCTCTAAAAATTCACGAACAGTTTTTGCACTGCGGCCAATGGCATTTGCCTGCAAAGAAAAAATGATCACATACAAAAAAAAATTAAACTTAGCAATTTTTAAAGTAACAGTAGCAAACTCCTTGTATATGCCAGTTCTGAATTAAGCTCTACTTTACAACAGCTGTTCTTGCTTTTATAATTTACTTTTAATTCAGTATTCACCTTTCTCAACACTCCTTATATAAGAAGACTTGTTCTTCACCAAGGCACTCCAGCTTGCCCAGTTTGGAAAACAAATACCAGGCAAAGGCAGGCTTTTAGCCAGATGGTCATCTGACTGTCCTATGGACAGTCACTTTTTAAAGAAAATTGCTTCATTTTTCATATGTTGCTTTATAAATTGCTCATTTGAGAGGCTCTATAGCACATTTTAGACACCTACTTTTTGAATCCTGGCTAAAAGCCTGGTTAAAGGTAATATCCTGACTGTGCATAACCTATATTCATTGTCACAGGTGGGTGTGATCATTTTTAGAGTACTATAGGTATGTGCATAGTATTTTGATTGAATAACATTACAACAAGAATCTGAAACTCCTTGAGCACTGAAACAAAAATTTGCAAAGAAACATAATTTACTGTCTTGTTCCCCTACACTATGCAAAGAAAGTTGTGTTCAATAGCACACTGGAACAAGGGTGTTCATGTGAAAATTGATTTTGGTTGATTAAAATGGTAATATCATGGTTGACAAATTACTACTTAATTTTGGTGCAAATTTCCGGCATTAATTTATAATTTCACATGGTAAATTACAAAATTGCCATGGTGACGTTTGGTGTGAAATTTCTCAATACAATAAACAAGCCAAAAACCCATGATTGTGGGTGTAATTTGTCACCAATGATATTCAAATGTAATGGGTGATTCCAGGAAATATCCATAACTATACCATGCGTGGCTTTTTGGAACTCTGAGAGCAAGAGGTGTTCTCTGAACTGGAAATCCAAAGGAATGGGGGTACTTACTGTATGATTGGAATTCCAGGGGTGTGGGAGGGTTTTCTAGATGGGACAGACAAGAGTGTGAAAGCACAAATGAACTGACGACACTGTTGACTACCGCAGAAAGCAAGATACACTTGACAAGAATCAATCTATCACCTATGCGTTCATTTACGATGAAAAGTGATAAAATGTGGGTTGTATATTGGGCTCCAGAGGCCTTAAGTTGACAAATTTCTTGCCTGAAAATCGTCTGTGACTTACGCCGACCTGCTCTGTTAATTTACTATGCGTCAGTGATACATATTCAGTAAGATGCCATTTTAATGGTGTCATAATCGTTCTAAATATTGAAGGTAAATTAGGCAGGATTTGCCCGGACATATTCTAATTTCCATAGTAATTAACACACAAGACAAATGCAACTAGTTTAGTCGAAAACTAGTTGCAAAATTGCAACTGAAGAGGAGGAAGTTTTAGTGGTTGAACATTTAGACATGAAAGCATGCGATCGTATCTGTCACAATTTGAAGCCCTGTTGACAGTTGGTAAACCTCTGGGAAGAAATCAAAGCATAACATCTATTTCATTGGAAGTTGTAAGGAGTCAAACTATGATTCCAGAAGATTGATGG